GTTTTTCACAGTATGCCATGGTGACCCGCAACCTGAGTAACTAGTTTTGTTGAACCAAAACAGTTGACTAGAATTACAGTTTTAAATTTTTCTACCTTCTGTATGTCTTTTCACGAACCCCTATGCACCACATAGTCTTTTTGTGTACTCTTGATGTACAAAAGGGGGATAATGGGTATCACATAATGTCACTTTCATATTCAGAGTTTGGTGGAATATTTTTGGAAAAACTGCATCTTGGATATTGACTTTTGGAGTGAATTTTGGAGTGGTTACTTGGCTGGAATATACAGTTTGTTACCACTGATGAAGAAAAATCAAAACAGCTTCAAAAAACTCTAGAGGTTGTCATCTTTCTATTGCTGTCTATTTACTACCTACAGTTTCCTTGTATTACTATATTGATGTAACTCCCATTGTGTTAATTATTGTTTATGACCTTGTGGAAATCATATTGCTGAAACAGAGGTTGTAAAGATGAAATCACATTCTATTATCGTTGCTATCTACCACTTGTGGAAATCATTTTGCTGGGACATTGCTATCTACTGATTGTGGAAATCTTTTTACTGGAATAGAGGTGTTAAGACCAGAGGAAGCACCATAGACATTGTTAGATGCATAGTTCTCTATAGCACTTTGTATTGTAGGACCACATATTCAAGCAGCCCTAAACAACATAGCCAATCGTGAAGGATGCTGGAAGCTGCAGTCCAGGAATGTATTGAGGGCTACAAGTTGCCCTTCCATTATATCCTTTAAGATGATGAATTTTTGGTCAGTAGTTAAAACTCAAATACAGGAAACCATTTCTAATTAGCAGGATTCCAGTCACCTGCAATTTGTGTCTTTAAAAATAAGATCAACAGGGTAGAGAACTAATTCTTAGCTTGCTGACTCTGCTTCCTTATAAAGGGGTCCTTTACAAAACAGGATATTCTATAGAGCAAATACCTAATTATCATCAGTCTGTATGAAGTGTTCCACTGCAGAATGGATTCCAAAAGGTTAGCTTTTATGAGAGGATGGACAACTGTGATCGTTTATCCACTTTATATTAAGGCAGTGGGATTATAATCTGGTCACATCTATAATTCACAATTTGCCACTTATCAGGCTGGCTTTGGATCTTAGGAACCCTTGACAGTGTGCCCATCCTCCTGAGGCTGTATCTTTCTCTTTCTACCAGTTGGGATTCTCTACTTCCAAAGGTGTGGTGGTGTGTGCACCTTCATGTCATTTCTGATTTATGGTGACCCTCAGGCAAGCCTACCATGGGGTTTTCTTAGCAAGATTTGTTTAGAGGTTTAATTTTTTTTACCTCTGCCGTCTTCTGAGGTTGAGAGAAAGTGACTTGTCCAAGGTCACCCAGTAAGTTCCCATGGCCAAGCAAGAATTTGAACCCAGGTCTCTAAAATAATAGTCTAATGCTCAAACCATTGTACAGTGGTTCCTTGGTATCCTCTGGGGTTTGGTTGCAGGATCCCCCGTGGATACCAAAATCTGTGGATGCTTATGTCCCATTAAATACAATGACATGGTAAAATGGTGTTCCTTATATAAAATGGCAAAATCAAGGCTTACTTTTTGGAATTTACATATTTTTGGAATATTTTCAAGCCATGGGTGCTTGAATCCATGGATAAAGAACTATGGATATGGAGAGCTGACCATACCATGTTGCCAAAAGTTTAGTAAATGGATTCGGGCCACAAACCACCTTGAATTCAGTGGGACTTCAGAAATTGGATTGGAAAAACAGATAATTGTCACAGAATGGCCAGCATCCTTTTAGTGTCATACAGAAATGCAAGTCCAGGTTACACCTGCATATGTCTTTTTGGAGTAATTGCAAAAGTTAGTATTGTCTTCCTCCCTCCATAACAACCAACGTCTCTCCCCTAGGATTCATCATTTTGCTGAAATAGCACCCTCTGCTACTCAGTGACTAGTGGAGAGCAGGGTGGGCTGAAGAAGCATCTGGCTATGTCATTATGGCCAGACACAGAGAGACTACATCACCTAATAATAATAATAAATTTTATTTATATACCGCCCATTGGTGACCCAATCCGGGCGGTTCACAACATTAAAATAATACAGCCTAAAACCAATGTATTTCCCACCCACCCTTAAAAAACTATTAAACCAGATTTAATTAAAACCAATTTTCCAACAAGTTTAAAATAAACTATAACAAAACAAAATAAAACCCCTGCAGCTTTCTACAAGGGAAGGGTTATGGAGGATCTGCTGAAGGGGAGGAGGGCCGAGGCCGAGATATTTAGTCCCGGAAGGCCTGCCGGAAGAGATCCGTCTTGACAGCCCTTTTAAAGCTGTCTAAAGCTTTACCTACTGAAATCTCTGGAGGATCCTTGCAGATTTCAGAAGATCAGTACTATCTATGATACCATATCAGGATGTTTGTGTTATCACCAACACATTTGTGGATGGCTGGTGCTAATAATATAATTGTCACTGTCATTACTTTGTGTGTTTAATTTCTCTCTGGTTTCATGCTCTACAGTACCATCTCAACCACATCTATTTGTACCTGTGATGCTCAGTAATACATTATGCATCGGGTGAAGAGGCCAGTAGTCTACAAAAATCATGCTATAATTCATTCATTAGTCTTTTAATGTGCTGTAGATATCCTTGCTCTGAATGAAGTAATGAGCAAGGGGACTGAATACAAAGATGAAACAGAATAGCCAACCAAGATTTTATTACCACAGTAGCTAATTTTCTGAAGATACTGACATAAGCCTTGGGTCAAAGAGAGGGCAGGCTTGTCTAAAATAGAGCCACATGCTTAGCAAGGGCTTTATTTCCTTACAGCAATTTTTGTTTGTTAAACTGGGTGGTGAAATCTGTTATAAAGCAAACCTCAACGTTCCAGTTCTAGCATGGCATCTGCCAAACAAAGCTACACCATCTGTAGATGCTCTGTAGATTTTTGCAAGGAAGCTGGACCAGCTCTGGATGTTATCCCTGGGATGTCCAGGTAAGACTGGAAAACAG